CTCCTCGGGTTTGTCCTCCCTGTGGGGAGAGGCGGCGGTCAGTGGGGGTCAGTGGGGGTCAGTGGGGGTCAGGGGGGGTCAGGGGGGTCAATGAAGATCAATGGGGGTCAATAGGGGTCAATGGGGGTCAGTGGGGAGAAGGAGGGGTCAGTGAGGGTCAATGGGGGTCAATGAAGATCAGTGGGGGTCAGTGATGGTCAGTGATGGTCAGTGATGGTCAGTGATGGTCAGTGATGGTCAGTGATGGTCAGTGAGAGTCAATGAGGGTCAGTGAAGATCAATGGGGGTCAGTTTGGGTCAGTGATGGTCAGTTTGGGTCAGAGATGGTCAGTGATGGTCAGTGATGGTCAGAGATGGTCAGAGATGGTCAGTGATGGTCAGTGATGGTCAGTGATGGTCAGTGATGGGCAGTGATGGGCAGTGATGGGCAGTGATGGGCAGTGATGGTCAGTGATGGTCAGTGATGGTCAGTGATGGTCAGTGATGGTCAGTTTGGGTCAGTGATGGTCAGTGATGGTCAGTGATGGTCAGTTTGGGTCAGTGATGGTCAGTGATGGTCAGTGATGGTCAGTGATGGTCAGTGATGGTCAGTGATGGTCAGTGAGGTTCAGGGGCTCAATGGAGGAACGAAGGGGGAGGGGAGAGGGTCAAGGCAGGGATGGAGGAGCCAAAGGGGGCTCAAGGGAGAGGGTCAGGGAGGGGAGGGGTCAAGGGTGAGGGGGGGATGGGGGAGGGGCAGTGGGGGGCGGGGATCAGAGTGACCACAGAGGGATCAGAGGGACCACAGGGGGATCAGAGTGACCACAGAGGGATCAGAGTGACCACAGGGGGATCAGAGTGACCACAGAGGGATCAGAGTGACCACAGAGGGATCAGAGTGACCACAGGGGGATCAGAGTGACCACAGAGGGATCAGAGTGACCAGAGGGGGATCAGAGTGACCAGAGAAGGATCAGAGTGACCACAGAGGGATCAGAGTGACCACAGGAGGATCAGAGTGACCACAGAGGGATCAGAGTGACCACAGAGGGATCAGAGTGACCAGAGGGGGATCAGGAGTGACCACAGAGGGATCAGAGTGACCACAGGAGGATCAGAGTGACCAGAGGGGGATCAAAGTGACCAGAGGGGGATCAGGAGTGACCACAGAGGGATCAGAGTGACCACAGGAGGATCAGAGTGACCACAGAGGGATCAGGAGTGAGCACAGAGGGATCAGAGTGACCACAGGAGGATCAGAGTGACCACAGAGGGATCAGGAGTGAGCACAGAGGGATCAGAGTGACCACAGGAGGATCAGAGTGACCACAGAGGGATCAGGAGTGAGCACAGAGGGATCAGAGTGACCACAGGAGGATCAGAGTGACCACAGAGGGATCAGGAGTGAGCACAGAGGGATCAGAGTGACCACAGGAGGATCAGAGTGACCACAGAGGGATCAGGAGTGAGCACAGAGGGATCAGAGTGACCACAGGAGGATCAGAGTGACCACAGAGGGATCAGGAGTGAGCACAGAGGGATCAGAGTGACCACAGGAGGATCAGAGTGACCACAGAGGGATCAGGAGTGAGCACAGAGGGATCAGAGTGACCACAGGAGGATCAGAGTGACCACAGAGGGATCAGGAGTGAGCACAGAGGGATCAGAGTGACCACAGGAGGATCAGAGTGACCACAGAGGGATCAGGAGTGAGCACAGAGGGATCAGAGTGACCACAGGAGGATCAGAGTGACCACAGAGGGATCAGGAGTGAGCACAGAGGGATCAGAGTGACCACAGGAGGATCAGAGTGACCACAGAGGGATCAGGAGTGAGCACAGAGGGATCAGAGTGACCACAGGAGGATCAGAGTGACCACAGAGGGATCAGGAGTGAGCACAGAGGGATCAGAGTGACCACAGGAGGATCAGAGTGACCACAGAGGGATCAGGAGTGAGCACAGAGGGATCAGAGTGACCACAGGAGGATCAGAGTGACCACAGAGGGATCAGGAGTGAGCACAGAGGGATCAGAGTGACCACAGGAGGATCAGAGTGACCACAGAGGGATCAGGAGTGAGCACAGAGGGATCAGAGTGACCACAGGAGGATCAGAGTGACCACAGAGGGATCAGGAGTGAGCACAGAGGGATCAGAGTGACCACAGGAGGATCAGAGTGACCACAGAGGGATCAGGAGTGAGCACAGAGGGATCAGAGTGACCACAGGAGGATCAGAGTGACCACAGAGGGATCAGGAGTGAGCACAGAGGGATCAGAGTGACCACAGGAGGATCAGAGTGACCACAGAGGGATCAGGAGTGAGCACAGAGGGATCAGAGTGACCACAGGAGGATCAGAGTGACCACAGAGGGATCAGGAGTGAGCACAGAGGGATCAGAGTGACCACAGGAGGATCAGAGTGACCACAGAGGGATCAGGAGTGAGCACAGAGGGATCAGAGTGACCACAGGAGGATCAGAGTGACCACAGAGGGATCAGGAGTGAGCACAGAGGGATCAGAGTGACCACAGGGTGATCAGAGTGACCACAGGGGGGGTCAGCGCTGCCCGAGGGACCCCAGGACGAGCCGGGGGGGAGGGGAGGACCCTCCCCCCTCCCCCCAGGCCTTTGGGAACCCCCTCTCCCCCTCCCCCTCCCGCGGCGCCCCCGGACGTGGCTCCTCCCCCCGGCCCCTCCCCCCTCGGCTCCGCCGCTGCCAAATTTGGGCGCCGAAGCCGCGGAGCCAAAAATAGCGCGGGGAGCCCAAAATAGCGCGGGGGGAGGGGCGGGAGCCCCGGGAGGGGGAGGGGCCGCTCCGGGGGGAGATCCCGACCCTCCCCCCAAGCTTTGGGAGCCCCCCCCGCCCCTCCCCCACAATTTGAGGGGCGCTCCGGGACCTCTCCCCTCCCCCTCCCCCCCCATCCGCGGGATTCCCGAATTCCCGATTTTCCCCTCCCCCCTCCCTCCCCTCCCCCCAGTCCCGGGGGTCTCCCCGAATTCCTGGGGGTCCCCCCCGCCCCTCCCCCCACCCGCGGTGTTTCCATGGCAACGGCAGC